GTTTATTGAAATTAGCTCTCTTAAAGTCCAAGATTCTAGTTTGACTATGTTCTATTGCTTCTGCTTGCATAAAGTTGAATACCAACACTGCATGATTACTTTCCCCCAAGGTTCCTGTGGCTTCAACACCTTCTATCATTTCATCTCTGTTAGTGAGAATTAAGTCCAATATGGCAGACAACGTTGTCTGCTAGGTTTGTCAGGAATCTGTTTGATCTTCCACTTGGTGCAGAGTTTGTGTCCCAGTTGATATCAGGGTAATTAAAGTCCCCCATTACTATCGTAATGTGCTTACTATATACCTTAGTTAGCTGACTAGCAAAAAGTTCACCTATTTCCTCTGTTTGGTTGGGTGGCCTATAGTATACACCTATGGCAATGTCATTTTCCCCCTTTTATATTGACCCAAATGTATTCAAGACAGTTTTCATCATTGTTATGCTCTATTTATATAGAGATGTAGTTATTTCTTATATAGAGAGCAACTCCACCTCCTCTTTTATTTGGTCTGTTTCTTTTAAATAATTTAAATCCCTCTAGCTGTGTGTTCCATTTATGGGTTTCATTCCACCAAGTTTCCCTAATGGCAACAATATCATATCTCTACAACCTTCCAAAAAATTGGGTCTAAATTTGTAGGGCCCTTTCCTATTAAACGCATCATTAATCCAGTGACATCGAATTAGAGCTCCCAAAGAACCTACGATGTCCACCCTGTTTTCCATTGTAGTTTACTCAAATCTGAAATCACTTCTAAGCTTAGACCACCAGTATCTCTGGTGCCTACACCCATATTGGTCAAGGGTGAGCAACATTTTGAAGTATGAGACATTTTGGATTCACGCAAACATCATGTTTCCACACAATATTTGGTGGCTTGGATCTTCCATCCTCTCAAAATGAATGGGTATATAAAAAACATATTAGGGCACCTAGGTTACTTAAACGTTTTCATGCTAAGTATCCTGACAAACCTGATTAATGTGATTGTTTTGTTTGTTTCTCCCCCTCTCCCACTTTCTGTGTTCTGCAGGTGGACATGTCATTTTTCTAGGGGGGCTCTATGTCAGGTCCCCAAAGAAATAATCTGCTTGTGTAACCATTATTTGGAGCCTACCATTCTGTTGGGAGGGGGGATACCTTGCGGATGCTTTCCACTGTCTGACCACCATGCTCTTCTACCAGGAGAAAGAATGTATCTCCCTTATCTAGGAGACGGTTGGCATTTGGAGGCAGAAGGAAACAAAAGCGAAAGAGACCTTAGGAGTGTGCCAATGGAGCCAGTTACTAAAACACTATGCTACCTGTGGATTGGCTGGATTTCAAATGGACCCTGGGACCCTGGGGGGAGGAGTAATAATATTGTTTTTAATATACTACTTGCACGGGTTTTTCTCCAGATCTCGCCTTGTTTGCCCTGCTATCACTAACCTCTAATTAAAATTCCTTTTGAGACAATTTTCAAGAGTTCTGCTTTCTTGGATGGCTTGGTTGAGATAGGTCCTTATACCTGGACTTGATATAGCCTTAAAAAAAGTTTCACAATCTGACCCCGATCATTTCTGTTTCTTCATATGAATGATATCAAATTATCATTTGGGCACTTTAATGATCAACTGCAATATATATTAGTTTGTAAAGAAAAGTTTATTGATAGGTTTCCAGCTAAACATGTGCTTGTTTGGACTGATTGCAACTTATCTGGGAAATAAGTCTCACTGCAATTAATGGGCTTTGATTATATATAGATACACAATTGCACTGCATGGCTGATATTTTACTAACTGAACAACAGAATGTATTTTTATAATAATCATACATAAAATAAGGTACAAATGAATAAATCTCATATTGATTGAATATGAACTAGTGATGTCTAAAAAGGAACAAAAAGAGACCAAAATTGCGGAAGAGAACTTTCTGATTTGCAGATTTCATTAGTTCTGATGCATCCTGAATTTCTGGCTCCTCTTCTACATAGCCTGATTCCAGAATAGTGCAAATAAAACCAGGACACCTTTAGTTTTCCTAAGAAGTATGGCTTTCTGCATATGGGTATGTATGTATGTACTCTCATTTCACTGAGAATGGCAGAAGTGGCAGAAGTGTTTTAGTGCATGCACATGTGTGCATAAGTGGGACAACTTTCAGAGCAGTCATGTAAGCCTTCAGAAGGATCCTACTACTTTAATGTTTTTGAGAAACAATGCTTTATTCATACCAATAGCTTTGTGTAACATCTGTTCTAGAATAATTTGCAAAGCTGTATTGAGTAATACTGTCTAAGGCAGTGGTTCTCAACCTTTTTAATTCCGCGACCCCCAACCGGTCGTAAGTCGAGGACTACTCAACTGGTGCAGCACCATTTGCAGAATGGGACTTTTGGCGGGCTCAGCAGGGCAGAGACAGCCTGGACAATTCCTATTGGCTTTTGAAAGCCAATAGAATTAAACTCTATTTAAGAGAGTCTATTCTATTAGCTTTCAAAAGCCAATAGAATAAAAGGGAGTAGCACAGCTAAGGAAAAGGGGGAAAAAATGGCGGACTGCGTTGTTTGGCGACCCCCGTGAAATGGTCGTTCGACCCCAAATGGTTGAGAACCACTGGTCTAAGGACAAAGTTGCTTGGTGTATTTTGGAGCTTCCTTGAATGAGCAACTAAAAAAGAGGTCCCCCAAATATTTTACTCCCCCTCGATAGGTTTTTCAGGTAAGAGTTTTAGAACTGAATCTTTTGAAGTCTTTTAAACCATAGTATTCTACAGTGTTATAAAGTATATACTCACTTTGTCTCGAAGCAAATTGTATATTATATCTTAGTACTGTTTCAGGTTGTAGAAAATAATCTAGAAATTCCTATTATTAGTGCATGGGCATATTATTTAAATAACAAGGAATGAATGAGACAAAATAGTAGTAGAACAGAAATGTATATCTTTCTCCTGCCTCATGATGAACCCTGTTTTAACCGTGTTTCTTGCAAGTAAGTTGACCCAAGGCCCAAAGTTGGCCCAGTTGGGGAGATGTTAGAGGCCCAAAAGCTTAAGACACCAATTTTGCTCCTTAAAATTATGAATTGCCTCCAAAAAGTTAAAAAAGCCAGTTGTTGAGGCTTGGAAAAAGAAGTTCTGTCAGGCTGTCCATTTTGTATCCCTCATGTATAAATGAAAAATATTAAAGTTCCTTTAATATTTTAAACTCCAGTTGTATACAAACTAATCACATACCTGGTTTCTCAGTGGAAATATTCACTTCAGTTTGAAAAGAAATAAATCTTATTAAAATAAAGTATCTTTAAATCCAAAGAAAATATCTGAAAGAATACATCATTTGTTTAGGTGGGTAGAAGTAATGCTTCTTCATCAAAAAGTTTTTTAGAGGGGACAGAACTAGGCCAATGTCATGTAATCACTGTTATGATGCTTAATGAGTTCAGAGCAAACCTAAGCATAATTATTGTTAAGATAAAATATGAAACTAATGATTTGAATGTTTCTTATTTTAGGATCCTGAAATCTCTTAATATTTCTAGTTATTAATATTATTTGACATGGGTCCCTTTCATCAGTTGTGAGTTACTGTCAGAAAATATGGATTTTTTTGGATTAATGTTGCATTTAAAATGTAAATTCAAAGTCAATTCAAAAGTTATAGAAAATAATTAGATGCAATATAGAAATTTGAGTTTAGATAAATATTGGAAGGCATAAATATGGGATAAGGACACCATTATGTATATTTTGCAGGAAGTATTCCCTGGTGCATCTTATCTTGCACTGTATGAATACAGATACAGAGATACATGTTTAGTTGAGTGAGACAATTTCTGTGTCCTAGCTATTGCTTTATTCAACAGCTATCTCCCATCTGGCAACATCTATCTCCCACTTTCTTCTACTTTCCATTTTTCTCTCTTTCCATCACATGTTTGAGCTGACCACATTAATGGCAGTCTCCCTGCTTAATGCATACAATTCACAAGTCTGTGGCTTCTTCCTTCTATTATCCATTCCTTCACTTCCCTTCTGCCACTTTCTTTTCTTCTTCCACGAGTACATCTTCTATCAACTTTACATGAGCCAACTCTTTCCCCTTACTATTAATCAATCCTCTTCTTTATTCAAGACTCCATAAAGCATACTTGGAGTCAATGTATATGTTCCCCTTCTCCCTTCTAATAGGTTATTTATGAATTGTTATGAGTAAATGATGAATAGACAAACAAGAAAACACTTGGATAATTGAATGTATATCTTAAAAGATGTTATGAACATTTATTAAGAAAGTTTGTGGATTATCAAGCTTCATGTCTCAGGTTTTACTAAACAAAATACCTGAATCATAATCATATTTGAAATAGTAATTTTTGGACTGGGAACACATTTAAATTTTTGAGAAAATATTATGGGCCTAATATGGTAGTCTAAACATCTGACTGTGTGACCATAATAATGCAATTAAAAATATCAAATGGCCAAAATTAATTATCAAACATCACGAGAATTTGAAATCCTCAACTGAAATAAGATATTAGAAAGGAATCTTAATATTGCATAAAGTTTGGCAATTTTAAGAGTTTCTGGCATTTTAATTTTAGTGTTCATATCTGGGACTACAGGTATATTTTACAGTTGTAAAATGGTATCTCAAAGTATTCAAAGTTTTGGATGCATTTTCATTCTCTTCTTTAGACTTTCTGAATGGCTTGTTAATGTTTGAGGGAGTCACACTAAAGTAATCTTGCAAATCCGATTTCTCAAGCACTGGATGAAATTTCTATTTTAAAAAGAGCTTCTTATGAATGCCAAACTGCAAATCTAAGTTGCCTTGCCCAGGAATTACTGTAAATCCTAAAATGTTATTTTTTTTCATGTGTTATAAATTTTGTAAATTACAGAGTTTTGTTCAATGGGGCATTTAATTTCCAAGGAGTTGAATACATACAAACAAACTAATTAGGTTTTTTGAAAATACTCTTTTGATTGTTCCTTTTTCTTCATAGGGTGATCAATGCAGGGAAAAGTACACATAATGAAGACCAAGCAAGTTGTGAAGTGCTTATGGTGAAGAAGAAAATGGGGACAACTAATTCAACACCAAACAGAAATTCCTCAAGTAAGCGGAGATCGTCCTTGCCCAATGGGGAAGGATTGCAGTTGAAAGAGAATTCAGTAAGTCTGTTTGTCTTCTTGGTGATCCAGCAAGACAATTGGTTCACCTGTAAACATTTTTGTGCAAGAATACACATACACACACACACACACAACTAGTGTTTTCTTAACAAGTTTATTTTTTTTCCAAAAATGTGGGAAATACTGCTATGAAACATACTACCATAGGGCACTATTACTCTAGAAATAAAGCATTTTGTTTTTTAGTCCATACTACAATTCTGGAATGATGAAACTGAATAAATTAATCATAGCATAATTATTATTACACTAAAAGTGTAATAATGCATGATTACATGCTGCTGGAGGTGAGAGTTCCTCCACCCCAATGCATTTGTTTTATCTGTGTGGTAAGGATCTTCCTGTATGCTGTATTAACATGTAGCAATACAAGTGAGACATTCTAAGTGGGGTATTTAGAATTATTAGTGAAAAGTTCCCTAATAGCTTAATGAGTTTTTAAAGAAAAGCTACTCCTGGATTCTTTTTTTTATATATATAAACAAGTTTTATTAGTTTTTTAATTTTTACATCAGAGTGCTCAAGAAACACCGTGGTAATTTATTTATTTATTTATTTATTTATTTATTAGTAAAACTTATATGCCGCCCAATCCCTAGGGACTCAGGGAGGCGCACAAAATCAAAACAACAAGTACAACAATTAAAAATGAATACATTCACACAGCATGTCCCAATTGAATCCCGCCCCCCCCGGGGACATCAACCCCAGGCCTGCTAGAACAGGAGAGTTTTAATAGCTTTCTTGAAAGCCGGCAAGGTGGGAGTAGTTCGAATCTCGGGGGGAAATTGATTCCACCACGTCGGAGCCACCACAGAAAAGGCCCTTCCCCGAGGGCCCGCCAGCTGACATTGTCTGGCCGATGAGACCTGAAGGAGGCCCAATCTGTGGGATCTCACCGGTCTCTGGGAACTATGCGGCAGTATGCAGTCCTGTAAGTAACCTGGTCCTAAGCCATGAAGGGCTTTAAAGGTGACAACCAACACCTTGAATTGCGTCTGGAGACCCACAGGAAGCCAGTGCAGCTCGCGGAGGATAGGTGACACGTGGGTGTACCTTGGTGCACCCACAATCGCTCTCGCGGCTGCATTGTGAACCAACTGCAGCCTCTGAACGCTCTTCAAGGGTAGCCCCATGTAGAGCGCATTACAGTAATCCAGTTGAGGTGACAAGGGCGTGAGTAACCGTGAGTAGAGCCTCCTGGTCCAAATAAGGCCGCAGCTGGTGCACCAGACGAACCTGGGCAAAGGTCCCCCTGGCCACAGCTGATAGATGTTGTTCCAAATTTAGCTGTGAGTCCAGGAGGACACCCAAGTTGCGTGCCTGCACTGAGGGAGTTAAATTCCTCCCCCCAGGACTAATGATGGACCATCAGAATGACCCTTGGGGGGCAAGACCCAGAGCCACTCGGTCTTGTCGGGGTTGAGTCTAAGCCTGTTCACCCCCATCCAGACCCTCACATCTTCCAGGCACCGGCACATCACGTCGACTGCTTCACTGAAAGGACACGGGGTGGAAATATATAATTGGGTATCATCCGTATACTGATGATACCTCTCCCCGGGTCGCCGAATGATCTCACCCAGCGGTTTCATGTAGATGTTAAAAAGGAGGGGGGAACAGGACCGAGCCCCGAGGCACCCCATAATCGAGGGACCTAGGGGTCGATCTCTGTCCACCCGCCAACACCGACTGCAACCTGTCCAAGAGGTAGGAGGAGAACCACCGCAATACGGTGCCACCCACCCCCACCTCTCCGAGGATACCATGGTCGATGGTATCGAAAGCCGCTGAGAGGTCAAGAAGCACCAAGATAGAGGAATGACCCCTATCCCGGGCTTGCCAGAGGTCATCGGTCAGTGTGACCAAAGCAGTCTTAGTGCTGTAGCCGAGCCTGAAGCCAGATTGAAAAGGGTCCAGATAATTCGTTTCATCCAAGGATCGCAAGATCCTAATTTACAATTACCATAATCCAATTTAATCTTGAATAAACATATTATTAGCACTTCGGATATCCCTTCTACAATACACATAATATTCAGACAGTAACATTCTAATATTTCCAGATATATTCTATTTCTTAGTCTAATAGATCATTGATTAGTACCAATTCTTCTCTTATCACAAATCTCTCTTATTTCTTCTTCCACTACAAAATAGTTATCCTACTTAAAATAAAAATTTTACTCTACTCTATTTTAGATACATAATCTATCAGTCAATCTATTTCTATAAAAAAGAAATCATTTCAGTAAGATTTAAATCTCATCCAAATAATTATCATATCTAAAACAAGCATATTGTTACACAAAATATCATCTTGCTAACTTCACATGCTCAGTTAATTGTTAAATCAGTCCAGTCTCTAAAGCCTTTTTAACCCATTAAGTAAAATTTTAAATCACATTTTTAAATCTAACTCTAGCTTTCTTTCTGTGCCAGGCCGGTTTCCATAATACCGCATCAGTATCATCAAATCTCAGTATTTGAGTACGGGTATTTATCGACACCTCAATCTGGTCTAAGTTTTCTTCCCTTTCTTCCAGTATCATCTGGATAGTATAGTCAATTTTGTTCCATGTTGTAGTTACTAGTTGATTATCAAGGTTATCACAGCTTTGAATAGATCGCATCTGAAAGTCAATTCCTGTTGCTTTTAAGACTGCAAGTATTTCAGTTGAAGTCATTCTTTGATCATCAGAGTTCTCCATAATTTGTACATAGGTTTGTGAAATATCATCTTCTGTAGTGATTAGTTGACGTGGAATGATCAATTAGAGTCTCAGTTTGAGATTTTAAGTCAAGTATTTTTCTAGAGCTCAATTGATCAGTAGCTTCTTTCTCCATCTCTTTAAATTGTGTGTACTGTTGCATATAGGCCTCTTTAAAGCTAGTCTGTTCCTCTTTTATTGTTCCTTGGCCTATAGGTTGATCCATTAAAATTTGAAATTCAGTTTGTGGTTCTGCAAAATGATCTTTAATTTTTCTCCAAGATTTCATGTACTCTGTATTTTTTCCCAATATAAGCTCATAATCAAGCTGTGGGTGATATTCTTCCATTTCCATGATAAAATAGTCTTTTAGTAGAAGCTATATTTATTAGAAGTCAACAAATATCCACCTCCACAATTTCTAGTAAGCAAATTCAGCCCACAGCTTCTTCAAGGCCTTTATCTTTTTCCCTTTTATTATCATTTGAAGGTCAAATCCATCTTCAAACACCAAGAGAAAGTACAATTGCAGTAACACTTTTCACCACAAGATGTCCTCAGTAGGCTGTAAAATCTTTTTTTCCGAGTTAATTTTTTTTATCTCATTAGGAAAATAGAGAGAGAAAAAACAGAAATATCTCCAGCATAGTAGATAAAATAATAATAATGTTCTATGATAAGGATTTTTTCAAAATATAAAAAAAATTAAATATCCAATAAAAAATTACTGTTTTATAGTTTTGTTCAAAGCTTTTTTTCCCAAATAATCCAACGCCGCTCTCTTAAGGCAGGGAAGTCATTCAGAGGCTTTTTACAGGAAAATAGTTGGGGCTAAGAGAGGGAAGGAAAGGTCTCACCAGGATTTCTCCACGGTGGTTCTTCACGCTTAACTGTTCTTCTGACTTTCGGCTGGTGCAGCTGGGTGATCGGCCATTTTACTGGGTGATCTTTTCTCCGACGGCCTTCCGCAGTCAACAAGGGCCTCCTCGACGGTGGTCACTCCTCCAGGGCGACTTTTTGACCCGATTAAGGGTCTACCGGCGGAGGGAAAGCAGCCGGCAAACAGAGTTCTGCGCACGACTGCACAAGCCGTAATCTGGAACCAGAAGTCGCTACTCCTGGATTCTTGACAAACCTGTATTAATTGGATCTGAGCCAAATGCAATTGTTGATTCAACTTGAACAGATGAGTTGAGTTGATTTGATAGTTTAAGATTAAATCTCCAAATTATATATAGGCATATTCACATCTGTGCAAAATAAACTGCCCTTGTGGATAAGAATAACTTTGAATGTTTTTCAGAGTTTGTTCACAAAATGTTCTTGTACAAGCAGAAAACAAAGGAAGTAGATTGTAGAGCTAGATCAAGAATTATGTTGTGCTTAGATTTTCCCCATATATTCTCCTCCCTCAAAATTATCTCAATCATTTGGGGAAATATATGAACCTGCTTTTATTCTACTAATGGGAGTCACAATGAAATATATTTCCTAAAAAATGCTTCTTTCCTTAAACAGGAATTGGATAGCATCTCTTTTCATTACTGGTCGTTATTTGATGGCCATGCTGGATCTGGAGCAGCTGTGGTAGCCTCCAAATTGCTGCAGCATCATATTGTAGAGCAGTTGCAGGAGATTGTGGACATCCTGAAAAACTCTGCTGTTCCTCCCCCAACTTGCCTGGGGGAAGAACCAGAAAGCATGAATGCCAACAGCAGAATGCTAACCCGGGCAGCCTCATTGAGAGGAAGTGTTGGAGCTCCAGGTTCACCTGGCACTCCATCTACTCGCTTCTTTACAGAAAAGAAGATCTCGCAGGAATGCCTTGTTATTGGAGCTGTTGAAACTGCATTCAGGGAAATGGTAAGTATAATTTGATGGTTTGGGTATCTTCGGAATAACACTTACTTATAATAGTAAATATACCATATATGTAGTAAATGGCAATGGGAATGACTTTTAAATACATTGATAATCTAATACATTTTCAAAGGTTGAGCATATAATAAATGTTTGGCTCTACAATTGTAAACCAGATGATCATTGCCAAAACACATAAATGAATTATACATCTTCCTAAGGTGGGTGACATTGGATGTACCATTTGCCCTTTTTTCTAATGAAAGGCAAGATGTATAAAAGTAGGTGAATGGAGACAGTTAATGATACATTTGTTTAAAATTACTGGCTTTTTCCTCACTGAAAAAGTACGTTGTAAACATCACCTTGTGCTCCTAGAATAAAAATTAAAAAAAAATATTTACTGAGCTTGAGAGGATTTGCAAGGAAGAATTACAAAAATTCCCCCAATGCAGGTGTGCAAAGCTTATCGCTCTTACCTAGAAAGATTCAAGGCTGTAATTGCTGCCAAAGGTGCTTCAACAAAGTACTGAGTGAAGGGTCTAAATACTTATGCCAATGTGATATTTCCGTTTTTTTCTTTTTAATAAGTTTGCAGACATTTCTAAAATTCTGTTTTCACTTTGTCATCATGAGGTACTGAGTGTAAATTAATAAGAAAAGTTCAATTTCAACAACTGTAGAATCGCTGTAACATAACAAAATTAACAAAAGTGAAGGGAGTCTGAATACTTTCTGAATGTACTGTACATGTATAATAAGACTATGTCAGGTTTCTGAAAATTTGGTCCTTGATAGTTCATCCAATGCAAAAATGCAAAAAAGTGCACAGTTCACACATGAGTCAGGAGGTGGCCTCATTAATTAATGTAGCATTTGCCATCATAGAGCTATCATTGATTAAATGCTATTAAGCCATCTGTGCTGAATAGTGCTGAATCTTATTTTTGAGAAATGTTATTATCACTGCAACCCCTACCCTGTTTTAATCAGCTTTGAGAGTACTGCAAGGACCTAGTATAAGACTATAAAAAGACTGAATGGGCACCTTTTTACAGGTTTTCATACAAGTAAAAGTATTTGTACAAGGAGTGTATCTGTAGGAACTAGAAGCAGATGAAGCACGGCCCCTGTTTGACATTCAGCTTCTCTAAATACACATGCAAATACACACACCCATGCACAGACACGAGGGGGGGGGGATAATAGGCATGTCCCATGCTTCTCTCTCTTTAATCCCATTTGCATGGTTGTTGTTTACCCTGCATTTTCTGTATCTTGGAAAGAACATTTCTGTAATGGGGAATCTACTCTATTTGTAGATCCCCCATGTGATTTAAAACCCTGGGTTTCTGGATTTCAGATTAATAAATGAGTTTAACCAACGATATTCAACGTGTAGACCTAGGATTTATGTGAGTCACAACTTTGTTGTGTATCAGAATGGCAGAAAAACAAACATAAAAATAGTCTTTTAAAAAGCAATTCCTGTTCTTTGTCAGGATCCAGTTATATTTCCTTTCTATCTATCTTCTCTGATATAAAACCAATTCTTAACCCTCTCCTGAATCCTGCCATACTCTTAAGAGGGAGGGGGACTATGCATGAGGGTTTTATTACTTTCACTTTCTCCATTCACTACAAAGTAACCTTTTGTTTATTTGCCTTGGGTCTGCTAACCATCACAATGTAACCATTAGCCTTTTATCCTATGCCCCTCTGAACTTCTGCTCCTTACCGGCCAGCTAGGAAGGGGGGGGGGATGAAAAGATGCAGCCTCCGGAATCTGGTTTATTTATCCATCATCAAAATAAGGTGTGAGGAGCTGTTGAATGATCGTGTACAACAGAGCCAGATTGATGTTATTTTTCCTAGATTTAACACCTAGAAATCTGTCGGTCTGAATTGCCTGGAAGAACTGTGGGGTGGGGGCTGCTTAGGAACACTTTAAAACATCGATCTGTAAGGAAATCCCTCAGATCCTGTCTATCATGCCTGCTATCAATTTCTCTTAATAAAAGTTCCTGTTGGAAGAGACCGTTTCCACGAGTTCTGCTTTCTTAAGATGTGGATTGAAGTGGGTCCTTACTTGTTTGGTAAACTGAGATGATTTTCATTCGAGGCTGCTCAACTTGCTGCAAAACAGAAAGAACAGAAACAACAAGGAAACTGTATAAATAAGTATAAACCAATAAGTGAGTATAGGTAGTCCTCGACTTATAGCCATTCTTTTAGTGACTGTTCAAAATTACAATGGCACAAAAAAAGAGATTTATGATTATTTTTCACATTTACATCCTTTGCAGCATTCCCATGGTCAGTGACAAAATTCAGATGCTTGACAACTGGTTCATATTTATGATGGTTGCACAGTCCAGAGTTCATATGATCACCTTTTGCAATTTTCTGACAAGCAAAGTCACCTGGGAAGTCAGATTCACTTTACAGCTGTATTACTAACTTAATAACTGCAGTATTTCACTAACAACTGTGGCAAGAAAGGTCATAAAATGTGGCAAAACTCATTGAGCAACTGTCTCATTTAGCAACAGAAATTTTGGGCTCAATTGTGGCTCTAAGGTTTTTGTTCCAAGATAATATATTCCTGCATCTACCATTCTTTTCTGTTGTAGAGCTTATTTTTGGAATAGTCTTCTCCTAAGTTGTAGTTGGCTCTTGTTGTGTCCTGAGCCTGCAAAGGCAGGCTCGGGACATTGCAATAGTCCCGGGCAGTTGCAAGCTGCCCGGGACCAGACTGGCTGGCGCCAGCGCTCGCACGCATGTGCGAGGCGCGCCGCGCGCCTAAATGTTGCTTTTTGGCCTGGGGATCGTCTTTAAGAGAGGCTGAGAGGTTTGTTCTGCTCAGAGTTGTAACGGGGGCTACTGAAGACCAATAAAGAGTTCCTGAAACCACAGAAGGTCTCGCGCCGTCATTGCCATTAACCGAGGACTCAACAGCTCAAACTCTGATAGCCTTTAGAAAGGCTTTAAAATTAGAATTTCTTTTCCCCCATGGACATTATACCAAGATCATAGTGATATATTTATTGCTTTAATTGTAATTTGGGTTTTCTTCTAGTTTTATTGCTTACACCACCTACAAATGTGATCAGGAGAGTTGGGGATCAATATAACTCTTCCTAATTGATTGGTCAATCAGTATAGTCCATTTTACCACCGTGCTAAATGCTGCTATGTGTTTAGTTTGTATAATGTTATGTTGGAGGTGGGGGGGCAAGAGTTAACAACAGTTCTCTACTTCTGCTAGTGAAAATTGTTGAATCAAGATATGAACTAAGGTTAAAATAATTGTATTTGACCCCTTAGGTTTGGACATGCAAGAACCATTCTGTATCATGAAACTTAAATTATTACAGTCCATGCTGTTAGTCCTATTACATGGTATATGTTTCAAATAATTGTTTAATAGTAGTTTTTTTCTATCTTCCTTAATCAGTTGCTTTTTTCTGCTCAAGAGTTAAGCATTCATTAATTTTTATTGTCCTAGTGTGCCAAAGGCAGAAGAAAAAAACCAAGCATGATCTACTTTTCAATCTAAGTATCACTCAGATTTATTATGCATGTTGAAATTATTTTCTAAATTATGATGTAACTTTTTTTCTCCTCAGGATTTGCAGATAGAACGTGAAAGAACTGTCTTCAATATATCCGGTGGTTGTACAGCTCTTGTGGTAGTGTATTTACTGGGGAAACTCTATGTGGCAAATGCAGGTGACAGCAGGTAAGCCAAATTTGTCTTTGGCTGGAAAGTTGTAAGTAAAGTTTTTTATATTTACATTTGTGTGTGTTCAACTAAAACATAAGATGTATTTCTGTCCTCTTTCATGAATTCCAGTTTTCACAGAAATTAACTAGTTCTGAATGAGATGTCTCAGTTGTGTCCTTTGCCACTTTCTGATGCTAAATCTCTCAGTTCTGACATCTTTTTGGTTCCTTCTGCCAGTATCTTAGCTGACTTGAAGATTCTGGGACAATCTCTGAGATTTTTTTTCTCCTACCTTTGTTTATTTTAATGCTCTATCATTTCTTCTTACTGCATCACAAGTTAAATATGTTCCAGTGTTCGTCTTTTTTTTTTTGTCAGTTGAAGCAAATAGGCCAGCAATCCAGAGTGAATGCATCAATTTAAAGTATTGAAATAACTTGTAATTTATATTTTATGTGATTGGGTTTTTTGCCTTAAAAATAAAACGTTGATTCATTTAGTGAATTCATATATTAAAGTATCCTTAAAATGGGATCAAGTACTTGTGTGAAGGCCAGGCCAATTCTCCTGTCCCCACTTGAAAAATACTTCCATGCTTTTTTCTGTGTTGTGGTTTGTATACTCTAATTTTTAATGATTTTTTTTCCTTTTTTTAAGGCACGGATTTTAGCATTATTTGCACAAAGTTGCATTGCTGTTATGCAGCAGCATTTTTTATTAGTTTTGCTAATGTTTCAGCAGTACATTACAACATAAATATAACGCATGGTATAATGCATGTCAAGTACACTGGCTGCCAAAGTCTAAAACTATTCTTATAATGCAGAATTTACAGCAAAATTCTCAGCCAAAGATTTGTATTCTGGATCAATATATAAAATTTACTCGTCTGCATAATCAATAATTTTTATAAGAATTTTCTTAGAAGAATATAAGAATAACATTTGTTTGACTGAATTTCTTCATCTGAGCCTAACATACTAGACTATTATGAAAACAACATTATAAGTTGATTATAAGTTGAGAGCTTTTGCTGATGATTTGTGACATTATCTCAACCGACAGACTCAGCTAGGGATTTGGTTGAAATTTTAACTCAGTATGGGAAGGTTTCTGGTTTTAAGGTAAATAATAATAAGACTAAAATATTATCGAAAAATATGTCTATGAAGGAAAAAGATATTTTGGCTAAATTAACAGGTTTTGAAACAGTGAGAAAGGTTAAATATTTAGGAGTATATATTACACCTTCTAATGTTAAATTATATAAAAATAATTATGAGACATTATGGGCAAAAGTGCAAAAGGACTTAAAGGATTGGAAAAAACTACAATTGTCTTTGCTGGGGAGAATTTCAGCAGTTAAAATGAACATACTTCCAAAGTTTCTTTTCTTATTTCAAATGATACCTATTTTGAAAAAAGATGCTAATTTGGAGGAATGGCAGAAGGGGATTAATAAATTCATTTGGGCAGGGGAAAAGCCAAGAGTTAAATTTAAGATTATACAAGACATACAGGAAAGAGGAGGATTTAAGGCGCTTAATTTAAAATTGTACTATGATGCGGCAGCTTTAACGTTGATTAGTGATTGGCTCAACTTAACAAATAAAAATATCCTTTCTCTTGAGGGATGGGATTTATTATATGGATGGCACGTATATTTAATTTATGATAAAAAAGTTGATCAGGGTTTTAAAACCCATATCCTGAGAAGTGCCTTGTTGCGTGTCTAGAAGAAGTATTATTATAGGCTAAATTATAAAATTCCAATTTGGGGGATTCCTGGACACGTGATAGAGGGAATATCTAGGGGAGTGAATTTGGATAAGATTTCTTATAAGCAATTACTTAGTTTGGTTGGGCAAAATTGGCAATTAAATCTTTGACTGAGCTGAAGCAAGAAAATATTGTACACTCTTGGTTTCATTATAATCAATTGTTAGTGAGGTGGAGTTTAGATCAAAAGGTTGGTATCACTTTACAGGATGTGAATTTGGTAAAACAGATTAAAGATCAAAGTCGAGCTCATAGGAAGAGAATTTATAATGTTTTAATAGAATTGGATTCTGAAACGGAGTTAGTTAAAGATTGTATGGTTAAATGGACTCAAAATATTCAAGAGCCGATTTTATTGGATACATGGGAGACAATTTGGGTTAGAAATGTAAAATTTACTCAGGTGTAAAATTTAAGAGAAATTTTTTATAAAATGTTTTATAGATGGCATTTGATCCCCAAAAGTTGTCCCGCATGTATCCGAATTTACAGCCCAAATGTTGGAGATGTGGAAGTTTAGATGCAACTTATTTTAAAATTTGGTGGACCTGTAGAGATATAAAAGCTTTTTGGATTAAGATTTGGTGGAATATTCAAAAAAAATTTAAGAGAAAGATAAAGTGTACTCCGCAGTTATTTTTGTTGGGTATTATTGTAGATTTTGATGTTGAAGAAATCAATTTGATGTTGAATCTTATAACAGCTGCAAGATTATTAGTGGGGCAATATTGGAAGAAAAACTCTCTGCCTACTATGGAAGAATAGATACTTAAGGTGTCTAATTTAGCAGAAATGGCGAAAATCTCCACTTATTTAAAGGACCATTCACAAGAAAAATATGTTATGGTTTGGAGAAGATGGATTGGTTACATTCAAAAGAGATATGAAACTGAAAAGTATTATCTTGCATATGAGTAGATTTTAGATAATTATTAATAGTTTTAATTATATCATTATTTTAGTTTATAATTTGTTAACACTTGTTTTGAAAAGAAATTAGTGTGTTAGGGTTTTGATTGATAGTATAGTTGGTTAATGTTAGTTAGATTATGTTTGTTTATTTGTTACCCTGTAATCAGCTCTGGGAAGTGGGGGAGGGGGAAGGGGTGGGAGGGGTTTATATTGTATTAAATTTGTAAAACTTTTAATAAAAAAAGAAAGAAAAAAGAAAACAACAGACCTTCTACAACTGTGTAGGAAAATGCTTTCAGTAACTGCAATGTTAGAGCAATTCAGGTGGTAATTGGGAAGTGGCCTGGCGGAGCAGCAACAGTCAGTAAATTTGTTCTAAAGAAATCCAGAACAGAATTTCTCTAAGTGTACATATTATGACTGGTACTAGTCATATTATGATAGAAATGTACATATTTACTACAGTATAATTTTTAAGCCATTACTAGAAAATACTAACATTTATGTTTGCCTATTTATGCAAACAATAGATGCAGATCAAGAACTAGTGTATTTAATTGTAGGAATCAGTGGGGAAGAATCATATTTATAAAATTGAATCTCTTTTTCTCTCTTCCTTTCCTCCTCTTGCTGTTTTCTGATCCATATAATAAATATCTTCTTGCTGAGAATATAGTAAAGTCTTGTTTATTCATTGTATCTGTCCGGTCTCTGCCTTTATCACATTCAAAATACTTCTTCAAACAGGCATATGTTTCTGCCCCACCTGTGCAAAATTTCTAATGTCTGGGGCCTTTTGACAAAATGAGCAGATACTTCCTGTGGCTTCAAATTCCAAATAGTTATCAAAAGGGATTGGTAAATGATTTCTCTTTGTTACTTCTTAGCAGATTTTTGAATCTATTATAAAGATACTGCAGTTCATTACTGTATTTCAAATAATTTCTGGCTGAAAAGGTATGTAATAAAATCAGGGCATCCTATGAATACTTCTTCACAGCAGGAAGAGAGTGTTTTTCTTTTTTCTTTAGAGCATTCAAATGCCAGATGACCTTGTACAAATGAAATTATTCTTTCAACTTTGCAACTTGGTAGTATTTCCTCTGCAGCTTAAGCAGGATGGCTTTTTCCTGTAGTACAGTATTTGGATTTCAGCTTTCCCTCTTTACAAGAAGCTTGAAATCTAAGCTACATCACAGAGTTGTTAAAATGTGTTGAGTGTGTTAGTACCCTGCATGTAATCCTCCTGTTTGATGGTTTATGAACCAAGGTATGCTAGATTACAGATGTTTTCCTTACATAGAATCATGTGAAGATGACTTGGGAAAAATAGGATTTGGAGTATGGTTTTTGCATACTGGACAAAGTGTGATTTATTAACTTTTATCATCAGGGAATTCTGTATGTAGCCTGGATATGACTTAAGACCTCAAACTGAGTCTACTTCTGTGTTTTACTAAAAAGTATTATGTGATAGACTTGATTGATTAAAGTGGTGATGGAGATTAGTATCTGTAGGTCCATCTGGTGATAACCATATGGAAGATTGGGTTTAGTATTTTACAGGAGTTATGAAGAGTTTGATTTAACAAATGAAATTATAGAAAGAAAAATAGGCATGTTGAATCTAAGAAAAAAAAGAATATTACAAATCTGAAGAAAGGTAGAGTTCAATACATGCTGAGAAGTAAAATGTAGGTTTAATTATGAATGACATGGCTAAAAGGTCAGAAGAGATGTCATCTAGGTTGATATAAATGTATGGGAGCCTATAGTGATTACATACATTACATATATGCCTAATTAAAGATGGTAATAAAAGAATTAGATATGAAGCGTGGTCAGATTGCCCAACATTTTGAATACATGTGATCCAAGGAAAAAAAATAAAATTCTGTTAGCTACTGTGAATGGATTGAATTGTTGGGGAAGAAGATGATAAACTGGTTACAAAATGTACTGTCATTCCTTAAACATTATATACATGAAATAATTTTATTCTCCTTTATGAATAATAGAGTTGTTGGATACAAGATGGATGTCAAATAAATTTAACAATAAAAATTTCATAATAAATAAAGATTGAAATAGAGAAAAGTACCAAAAGGGTAGTGTCAAAAATTTGGGGTTTCTGGAAAGCAAACTCAACCCTTAGAACACTTGTGGGAATAAGAACATCATAAAAATGCCAGAGATAGAAAATGGAGTGCTTTATTAATCAGAACATCATCATATTATGACTTTAACTAAAGAATGGGTTCCTAATTGCATATACTATAGCAAGTTATCTTGCCACATTGCTCAACTCCTTTTGTTTCTTCAGT